GTGCTGAAGTTTTTACCACCTAGTTTCCTGAGATCTAAAAATAGGGATTGTCTAAAAAATAAAAATTAAAAAAAGATAGTCTTTGTGAATGATGAATGAAAAGGGGCTAAAAGGAACCTTTTTGACTGGATGCGAAGGTAACTCATGCCTGTAATCCCAGCACTTTTGGAGGCAGAGACAGCCAGATCACCTATGGTCAGGAGTTTGAGACCAGCCTGACCAGCATGGTGAAGCCCTGTCTCTACTAAAAATACAAAAGTTATCCAGGTGTGGTAGCAGGCGCCGGTAATCCCAGCTACTCGGGAGGCTGAGGCAGGAGAATCACTTGAATCCAGGAGGCGGGAAGTTGCAGTGAGCTGAGATCGTACCGCTGCACTCTAGCCTGGGCATGACAGAGCAAGACTCCATCTCAAAAACAAAAGGTTCCAGCCAGGCTGGTCTCGAACTCCTGACCTCAGGTGATCTGCCTGCCTTGGCCTCCCAAAGTGCTGGGATTACAGGCATGAGCCACCGTGCCTAGCCTTTGAATCTTTTTGTTTTTCTTTTTTTTTCTTTGACAGAGTCTCACTCTGTCACCCAGGCTGGAGTGCAATGGTGCGATCTCAGCTCACTGCAACCTCTGCCTCCCAGGTTCAAGCAATTCACTTGCCTCCGCCTCCCAAGCAGCTGGGATTACAGGTGCCCGCCATCACGCCCAGCTAATTTTTTGTATTTTTAGTAGAGGCAGGGTTTTGCTGTGTTGGCCAGGCTGGTCTCGAACTCCTGACCTCAGGTGATCCACCCACCTCAGCCTCCCAAAGTGCTATGATTACAGGTGTGAGCTGGCTGTAATCAGCTGCTTTTGAATTGTTAGCTTAGATAATTTATAGCCAGTGTTGGGGTTGGCTAAGCAATGAACATTGGACTAGTTTAAGGAGAAATACTTAAAAGTAAAATGAAGAGTTTTCTCAGAGACCTCCTAATCTCATTTTCAAGAAATGACAAAATGAGCCAGGAGCGGTGGCTCACGCCTGTGATCCCAGCACTTTGGGAGGCTGAGGCAGGAGGATTGCTTAAGCACAGAGGTTCAAGACCAGCTGAGCAATATGGCAAAACTCCATCTCTATATAAATTAGCCTGGGATTGTGGTACAAATGTCATCCCAGCTACTCAGAAGCTGAGGCAGGAGGATCACTTGAGCCCAGAAGTTCAAGGCTACAGTGAGCCATGACTGTGCCACTGCACTCCAGCCTGGGTGACAGGGTGAGACCCTGTCTCAAAAAACTAAAAAGGAATGACAAAATTGGTTGAGTGCAGAAGTACATACCTGTAATCCCAGCACGAGGAGTTTGAGAGCAGCCTGGCAACATAGCAAGACCCTACAGAAAATTTAAAAAGTAGCCAGGAGAGGTGGTGCACACCTGGAGTCTCAGCTACTTGGGAGGCTGAGGCACGAGAATCACTTGAACTCAGGAGGCAGAGGTTGCAGTGAGCCGAGATTGCGCTACTGCACTCCAGTCTGGGCGACAGAGCGAGACTCCGTTCAAAAAAAAAAAAAAAAAGACAGTCTCGCTCTGTCACCCAGGCTGGAGTGAAGTGTATGGTGCGATCTTGGCTCACTGCAGCCTCTACCTCCTAGCCTCAAGTGATTCTCT